TTGGAGTCAAAGCAGCCTAATCCGCCCAAAGTCTGGGACTAGACAGGAATTGATAGCATGGAGGCCTGTTGCCAACACAAAGGACCAGACGTTTCACCTCTGCATCTTCTTGGAGAAACGCTACGGCCAATGACGATTCGATGGGATCACGTGACTGATAAGGGTTGAGAGTCAGATGCGATTTGAGGCCAGTAATTATCACGAGAAGGTGCTGACTCCAGATCAATTATGCCGCTCGGCAGCTGACCGTGACCTCCTTCTTGTTGGGGTCAAAAAGAATTTCCCAACCAGAATAATTCACGTGTTAGATTATCCTCATTATTTGATCAGCATTATACAAAAGTAAGACGTCTTGAGGGCCATGGCAAGATCTGAGTTGATATTTGAAGCTGAGAGAAGCCAAAGAACTAGATGAATTAAAATATTTAATTAACAGCAATTCTGTATTGGCAATAATATTCAGTCAACAGTGAATTACTTTATGACACTGCTCTTTGTGGTCATTTACTGCTCAGCTGGCTCTTGAATTTGAATCTCAGTCATCTCTCAGGTCTAAACATCCTTAGCGATGATATCATGCTGTTCATTCTGTTGCATCAACTTCTATCGTGACTGAGATTATGTGAGGACTATGTATGTTAGATTGTTTTCTGGACACAGTATAACTGTTATAATAAACAGGAACTCATCAGAAAATGATCTTACATAGAGATTTAAAGGTGAATTAAAACATTAAAACAAAGCAGCATATGCTTTATTGTCTATATAAGTATTTGCTAATTGACTATACGCTCTGACTTCAGACGGAGGAGTCGCCCCCTGATGGTCATTAGAAAGAATGCACATTAAAGTCCCTTCAGCAGTGGCCTTGATTTTCAGAACCAAAGGTTACAGCCTGACAATAATGCTCTATGCTCCACATCTATGATATAGTTTTCACATATAATCATAATCACAATAATATAACATTGAAATGTAAAATATGTATATCTCCAATATATAATTATAGTACAGCCCTTGTGTTCATGATTACTTTTAACTTAAATTCTGCAACTCACGCAAATCTCATTTAATTTGCATGGCATTGTTACAAATTGTCGTACTTCAAAAAGTTCTCTTCTATGTAAGCACGGTTTAAACATTAATAATAGGGTAACTTAAAAAACACAATGTGACCAAGTGTTTGGATAATAGACAACCTAACGTCAATAAGTAATTATACTTCCAGGTGAAGAACAAATCCAGTTTCTGCAAATAACTACTCATAAAGTACTGAGAATCCTACTCACATGTGGTGAAAGACGTCAGCTGCTGGATTGGGGACAACCTTACCCTCCGGTGTTTTAAGAAGCAGAGGACAAACTCAAGACAGGTTCTGAACTCTTCCACAGCTATCAAAGCTTGAGACAATGCGTCAGCTGCCTCGTGCTGAAGGGACATTGAAGAAATGCTGGACCATATAAGCCTTCAGAAAGTGTCAGTCTGCGCCGAGTGGCAGCGTGCACGAACCCACGCTGACGTTCTGTCACTCCTCCTCCTCTGCATGTGTGCACCAAAGGGCTTCACAGCCTGCCTTTAACTCCTGCCACTCCTCAGGGGAGAGAGATTCTGGGAAGAGCGAGGACCTCTTAGAACTTAAAGACACTTAAACTAGTATTAAAAAGAAGTTAAAGTTTTTTTTACAATTGAACGAGGCGAAAGCTTTGACCGAATGATGAAACCTTGTTCAGAGCCAGCAGGGAAATGACTGCAGCGTTACTATTTTTGTGTTTTTCTCTACTCCTAAGAGTTCCTTTTCAAAACACAAAACAAGTCATTTTGAAAATTATACATATATACAAAAAATGTTCCTTCATCAGTGCCCTGGAAATAACTTTTTTTGTAATGAAATAATTTAATAAATATTGCATGATTATCCTTCTCTTATTTGAACTCCCTTAACAATATATCTATATGAATCATCCCAATGCTCCTGGTATGCACTGATGTGCAGTGATATGCTGTGGCTTAGCCAGCTGAATCGCTGGGACTGAATGGTAAACAAAAACACAGGGGTTTGTTTTCCCCAAAAGACTATTAATATTCTCTGCTAAAATTATACTCAACCATCAGCTTTAATAAAAACAAAATTCCAACCTACATTCCAAGTACATGTTATGTTACTCGACTGATACCTAAACAGGACGTTTTCGATCGTATTTCATTTTCTCACAGGCACCTAAAAGAAACAAACTAACTTGACCTTTCAGTTTTTTTCAATGCAAATATGTTTTCAGTCAGACTGCAGCATTACACCGAATTACTGGCACAATGGCACAACACATTTGATTGCGGATTAGAGAACTATAAGATATGAAAAATATGAAGATACAACTCAAAAGGTAACAAAGGATGCAGAGATCTTTGATTGATAACTCAAATTGACCTTGAACTTACTATGATGTTTTTTCATGATTTGTAAAGTTTGATTTCCTTGTTGTGATTGTGTAAACGTGTAGCCGTGACAGAAATCCCTGTTCTGAAAGTCACGCACAGCAGCTGTAGCTCTTTTCACAGAATAAACACAATGCAAGTCAACATCAATCTTTGGAAACCAACAAGCACACATCACTTACCCAGTGTTGACCTCAATAAAACATTGCTCCTATAATTTCAATCTTCTTGCAAGGCCTCGATAACTAAAGAAGAAACAAATTGCCTAAAGCCCTAAAACAACAATGTTCCCAACTGACACTTGTAACAACATAAATCCTCTCCCGGTTTCTCTTTTGCCCCTAAAAGCCACTAAGTGCTCATTCAACACCAACAAGAGTGAAGCTAAACGACAGTGGAAACACTCCGGTTTCCTGTAAATCCATTATCTGCTGTTGCCTTGAGAGGGAAACCATTTCAACGCAGCCTAAGCTCATTTAAAATGCAAAGTGTATCGGTCCGACTGTGCTGACTGCATAAAGTGAGGCCTGGAGGCTTCTCACCGGACACTATTTAATACTCATTGAGTCAAGTCTCAAGCAGCTAAATAAGGTTTGTGATTCTGTATGGCTGCGTAAGTGCACCTGTTTAAATTTATAAGGGCATTTCTGCTCAATAAAACTAGAATTGCTATTATAAATGTGCGTGTGTAATGCCGTCATAGTCAAATTGAGCGATGGCCACAGTGTCCCCACCACAAGATGAGCGCTCCAAGATAGATGTAAGCAAACACACGCTCACCTCCACTGAAACAGAATGAGAGGAGACCTATTCTATTTTAGCAAGACCTATTTCAAGCTGCCGCCAGCACACTTTATGGGTAGTGATAGAAGTTAGCCAAGTAACCTTTTGACCTTTGGCTATCTGGGAGACAAACCAAAACAAAGTTAGGGGAGGGGGGTGGGACATAAATCATCTACCTAACATTTCTCTTAAACTCTTTTTTTTTCATTTAGCAAATTTAACAGACACTAATCAAGTTTACACTTGATGAAAAATCATCAATACTGCAGTTGCATTGCAATTGTTGCAAAATGATCAGTAACAGTTGCTGGGCGAGAACTGGTAAATAACCGCATCTCTGTTCAAGCTGCAAAATCAATGCAGCTCAATGCATTTACTCTTGAATATGCACATCTATATACAAGATACACAAGATCGACCACCATGACAACAACGGCAGTACTTTGGAAGCCAAACGACGGGCTGGCTGCTATCGCTGAGGGCGTAGCATTGCTTACTTTTTTTGGGTGGCGGAGAAAGTAGCACTTTGGTCACAGAAGGACCAGCTCTCCCTCGACAGGACGGCCCTGTCCATGCCTGTGGCCCAACACAGGAATGTCTCACTCACGCCCCACGGGGGCTTTGGCTTCTCTGGGGTCATCATTTCGCCGTAAATGAATTCAGCAATACCAAAGGCCCTTTTTTTAACATTTGCATCAAGGTCAGCATGGACATCGTCATAATGCTGATCTAGGTTGATGTTTGGAATTTGGGACAAAACACTGTAAATATGCTGACTTTTTAATTTACTTTAACTGTCATTTAGTTTTTTCTCCTGCAATGACATGATATGCGTACATAATATAGTGCACCCAAAAAGCTAAAGCATTTATACAAAGAGACAGCTGCTACCACATGTCTTATATCAGAAAACATTCTAAAATTGGCTTGAACCGACTTCAGTTTGACCCCGTCGCGTGGGAGTTTTAAAGAGATGTGAGCGTGAAAAGGTCTTTAGACTCCGTTAGGACGGAGGAGGAATCATTCCACAGTCTCACAGAAAAACAAAAGCCGCCTTGTTGCAGAGGACAGCTTGGTTACATGCCGTTTGTCAGTGTAAAAAAGGACTCGGAGCATCCCCTCAACCAAGTGGGTTTTTACAATCAGATGTACACTTACATAATGCATAACAATCACAGGTATAGTGACCTTTCACCGAGAAGTTGTATCAGAAGCATTTGACTAAAAATACACACAATCTACTCACTGACTCAGACTAGCTTATAAAAAGTGCTGGAGCTGCCAGTAATTGGCAATTAACTCCTACAGAGGTTTGTTTGCTGACAGTTGCCAAGAACGAACAAAACTGTTCCAAGTTCTCCAGTAGTCATGGCTCACATGCAGTTACACAACGTGATAATTTACTTCCTTTTAAATACTATTACTTATTACTTATTAAAAATAAGCCGTGGGGAAATTAGTGCATGTTAGCCTAATGTGGCCATGAGGGCCACGGCTGCAAACATTAACACCTTGTTAACTTTACAGCACACAAGGAGGTGGTGACACACGCTCTATGCGTGTTCAATTTGAATTGCTCTGTGTGCGATGAGGTGACGAAGGCACAACCCCGTCCGTGTCCTTCATAAACTACAAGTGAAAGACAAAACTCTAAGATGGTACATCTAACAAAGCCATTTTATTTGGACTCAACTCTGGAAATGTTTGCGCCAAGCTGTAACCAGTCGAGTGTAAAGGACGGCACCTGTAGAGTTTAATACAATGTATAATCCAGCTGCTCTTACCATCCGTGGTGTCCTCGCAGTTCTGATTGAAGTTTTCGTAGGAGTCCCAGCGGATCAGTGGGTCTTGTGTGTTGTAGTCAACCGAGACGCTCGGCCCGTTTTCCAGTTGATCCACACCTTGACCCGAAGTACAAAGAGACAGAGCAGAACACGTGAGTACCTTCAAATGATGAGGGAGGAGAAAAAAGCTCTTCCACATCAAATAAACGAAGAAAAGCTCTTCTGTAAGTAGTATGAATTTAACATTATTGTTTTGTTACCTTTATTTTATTTATAATAGGTCTGCATGGAAGTACTAAACTATATAATAAAATGACGAATTAGCAAGGCATCATGTGAGATAACTGGATGGACACAAGTACACAGTTTAAGTACAATATGCAGAAAAAGAATCCTGGTGAAACAGAAACAATTATTCTTACCATGAATTTTCTCCGGCCCAAAGGAGAAAATAAACTCCACTTTTCCATATTCTGGAAACCTGTCGTCTGCACACAAAGGGGAACATGATCTTTAAGTTTGGAGCAAAATGATTTCAAAGGCAATGCATCCAGTGATCCATTGAGCCTACACACACGATACCATTCAACTTGAGCAACAGTATGCAAGATTAGCCATGGACAGACACAGGAATGCACACAGACACACACACACACACACTCACACTCGTGCAACCCAGATAACTGAGATAACAATGCACGTCTTGCACGTATTGGACACTTGGAGGACTTTGTCCCAAATCTCTTACCTTTGAATGTCTCATCAAGCTCGTCTTTTCCAAACACAATCCCCAGGTCATGAACGGCGCAGGTGTGAAACTGCACCCGGAAAACCACATCTCGGCACGGACTTCGGTAGCGCTTGTGATAGCACTTGAGCTGGAGAAGAGAACCAAAAATCAAATTACAGCAGAGCTCAACACACCAGTTGGAGGGATAGAGAGCAGTAAGGATGCGCTGACAATCGCATGAATAACCATCCCAAGTGTCAAAGTCTGACACCAGGAAGGAAAAAAAAGCGGTTTCAGCAAAGATTAAAACTGCAGGGTCCAATCACTTCTAAGAGCAGAGTCACTGAGCTGGACCAAATATGACACGATCTTTGTGAAACACGAGCCAGAGACATGCCAGCTTTATTCAGTGCTCTCCACACTGCCTCAGAGCTAGAGAAACATTTAACCTCCATATATATTCATATATATTAAATCCCTCCTAGTGTATAGCCTCTCCACAGGCTTTAATGAGAAACACTAAAACCCCAAACTGGAAAATTCGGTGTGTGTCCCCCACTGTTAACTGATGGGCGGACCGGACATTTACCCTTTTTACAAGGACCTCACATTTACAGGTACATGAGGAATATTCCTTGACCCAAAACAATTTGCAGCTCACAAACTGAGGCTGTAAGCTATAAAAAAGAATACATAATTACATAGAATTTACTATAATATAACAAGGAACGGCAATGCGGGAAATCAACAGACGCTAAAGACTAAATTGGATGATGATTTTTTTAAAAGATGGCGCTGACTCGCATTAAACAAACCCGAATTTCAACTTGTGGGGCCATATAAGACCAAAACATATACGGTCCCAAAATCCACACAAGCACATTAAGGATTGAGGAGGACAAAGGAGAATATCCTGGGGCTTAGTGTAGCTTTCTGGGGATATGGAAAACCTCCCACTGAGGGGTCTGTTTCACGGGGGGGAAACAATGCTGCTGAGCAAACTCTGAGAGCAGAGTAGAAAGAAAACATCAATTTTAAGCTTTTAGCCCCCACACCATGTCAGCACAGAAAGGAGAAAAGGGCTAAAACCTGAATATGAATAATCTTTAAAAAGAAAATGTCTGTGGTTATGTTTTTTCACTAACTTTTCAGTAATTAATCATTTTTGGGTTGTCGTATTATCCATAACTCATTTTGTTTGTTTAAATGCAGAAGCACACTCCACCCTGACTGATGTCTCTCCCGTTTGGCTATAAGGCCACAGCTCTCATTCCCTGTGCTATCTGAATAATAACCAGCATTGGCGGCCGCGGCTCGGTTCGCTCAGTCTGAAATAAAGGATGAGATATGAGCTCAGCTCTGAGGGGGGGGGGGGGGGCAAACGTCCTTGTGCATACAGTAAGTGCTCCTTTGAATCGCCTTATGCACAGACAGACACTTTGCTGATGTGTGCGGTTCTTCTGCTTCAACTAAATGCAAAATAGGTCACAAGTACTTTGCGAAGGATCATCATCTTAAAAGTGTGAAACAAAGAACAGAACTTTTGACTGATTATGTCATGCAAAATCCGTACTCTGTTTCTCAGGCGCAGTTGGAAAGGAAGTACAGTCCATTTTGACGTCATCGTTTCCAGCAAACATATTGTGTGCTAATGAGGGTCTATAAAACGAGGTACAGGACCCTGTCCAAACAGACTTCCCCCAGGTTTTTATGGCTCTATTTCTTCCATGAATGGACACTATAAACTGCTTCAGCATAATGCGTTCAGTACATGAACCCAACAACAGGGTTAGAAAACATACACCGCAAAAGGTAATACAATAAACTGCTTCTATTATTGGCTTCACACAGATACACAAAGACAGAAATGTTTCTAGGTTGTTAGTTGAAATTAGATCCAAACAAGTAAGATCTCATCTGATTTCCTTTTTAATGAACTTGTGTTTTTGTGCCATTCTTACCAAGATGTCCCCTTTCAGCAGAAGACCAGGTTCAATGGTGATGCAGATGCTGGTCTGGCTGTCACCCTGAACATTACTGCAATAGAACAAAGCCACAACGTGTTAGCCTGCCTTCGTCATTACTGCTGCAGGAATCATTCCACTGCGTCTGCTGACGGCCAACCTTCTTTTTCAGACCGCTTTTCTGCGAATCCCCTTTCCCACATGATCTACATTGCCTGCTTACGATCCCTTGTTTGCTTCAACAGTGGCCGTCTTCCTCATCTCATCAGCAGCGGCAGGCTCATTTTGGGTATTAGTGTCTACACGATTGGCTGAGTGGAAAAGTCGGATCAAAGGGTGGGGAGTGTTAATAGAGAGCATGTGAGACAAGGTGGGGAGGAATGTGAGCCGGGGCTTTAAGCAGCTGACAGGCTGGAAGTACATGTGCACTGATTGTGTCACACTTAGTTACAGTGTATGCTGTGAATGTTTTTATAGGATTGGCACCACTGTAGGAATGGACGTCGTAGAAACAGTCCCATGCCAGCGGGCTTTAGTAATTACAGAGCTGACTTTAAAACACTTCATAACGGCTCGGCAGTTTAAATAATTCGATATATGCAGGACAATGGGATTAGGGAATTTAAAGCTGCACCGATGTATTTCAAAACGATTATGTGTAGAGTAAAAGGTGTTGCTTGTAGTAACGAGGCGTTTGAAGCGTTTTAGCATCCTTCAGCTCAGTGTTTTCTGGCCACAAACTCTGCTCGTATAAACCTTGGTTCCACACGGAGCATGTAGCGCTCCCTCTGGAGTTGGAGGACACAAATAGAGCTAAAGGAACAGTGAATATTACATTCATTTGGCTGGTCAGAAACCATTAGCAGAAGCAGCTTCTGGTGAACCTGCACAACTTGTATTAGCATAACTGGCTAATACTGCCACAATCTGATCTGGTGGCAAGAATGGCAATTTGTTAGCCCATATATATATATATATATTGTCCTAGTATACCTGGAGACTGTTTCATGAATTATTTTAAGTTCAGTGCAGTAACTTCAAGGTTATAAATATCAGTTAGGTATAGATCAACTGTAATTCTAGCTATTTAAATGGTAGGATCTTACACTTGTATGCATGACTTCTGTATGCAGATATTCAGTAATAAGCTCTGTCTGATATATTTTAAATAAAAATGCTGAGGGAAGTACAGCTCTCCACTTTAACCTTCCCTCTTCCCAAAACAACAAAAAGAAATCCAAGAATCCATTTATTTCCATTTTCCCTGGCCCTTAGAACCGGTGGGGTCCTCTGACAGGAAACCCCTGCAGGCGTCCACACGGATGCCTGTCTGCCTGTTTCATTGGCTCTCCAGTCACAAATTAAACAAGAAGTGATTGCGGGATCTAAAGTGGAGAAACAAGAGCCCGCAGCTGGGGAGGCTAACCAAATACGATGATGTGAGTGCAGCACAGAGTGTAAACTGGCAAGAGGGGTGGTGTAAGTGGATATTGGGGGGCAGTGGAGTTAAGGGAGAGGCTATAAAGGAAAAGCAGCTTTTTATTATTATTATTGAGGCATAACGAGCTGCTATCCCTGGAATCTTGTAAAAGCATTCAAGTGTGAGTGTGCTTTAAGACTTACTAGATCCCAGATGTGTACACGGGCTGCATGGCCTGGTAGATTTTGAGAAAAGGACGACAACCTGGAACACAATTTTTGCGAGGCTTTCATAAGAGAAACGGCGTCGTTTTGGAAATCCGAACAAGTGAGTGCATTTCTGTGCACAACACCCACCTCCTTTAGACTCGAAGTTGGGGATGCCGTGCATGATGACATGGTGAAGGAACAGCGGTTTGTTGTTGATCTTGATGTGTCCGGAGAGCAAGCCGCTGAAGTACTCTACATACCTGAGCCAAGCAGAGGTACACAAAAAGGAACACGTCAACATGCCGCTGCGAAACATTGAAACATTGTGTGATGAATCTTAATGTTTTACAACAAAGCGAATGAACATTTACTATGAACATAATCAATCAAATAAATACTTTAAAGCTGCCTTCAATAATTCATATTTTTGGATCGGATCACAATTTAAACCTCAGGGTGCAACGGGCAATATTCCGGTGGTGCGCTCCAAGACTGCAGCTCATGCCGACTACGTCCTATTTAAATACACAATCTATGGGTCACACAGGAAAAACAAAGAGGGGGAGGGCTGACCTCTTCTGTGATGGCTGCCCCACAGGAAGCACTTTGTCTTCATAGAAGCGCTTCATGGCAAACCTGTCCAGGGCCTGGTCAGCACTGCGTTCAAACGCCAAAGAAAGAGGTTAACTTTTATTGCCACACTATTTTGAGAATGGAATACGATGTGAGATTGTGCGGACTTGTCCCAGTATTGCCATGTAAAACATGTGTCTTCACACCTTGACTTGCTGGCTGATTTGTCTTTAATGAAAATCAAAAAGCCAAATGCTCCTCCAGTAGTTTTAGTTTCAGAAATCACACCACACACAGAGGTCAACACAAAAATATGCTTAGGATTCATAACGTGAGATGCACCAGAGATAAACAGCAACAACACAATCAGGAAAAGCAGAAGAGTTCACACCATGGATCGAAATAGATGATTCATAATATTAAAGATCTTTTGGGGATATTTTACACAACATCACACTTCCCATTTGACAACTGCCCCAGTGTTTCCATGCTCTGTGCATTTGTTGCTCCTTAACTATTCAAGGCCACTTCACACAGCTTTAGATTTGTGAGAATCAGTTCCAAGATAAATGTCATACTTCTAGGGATGAGAACGTCATATTTTTCTCTCAATCAGCACCAAGTAATGCGCTCTTCTTCTGATTGTTAAACAGTTCCTTCACTTGGATTTACCAAACTTCAAAAAGAAATACTAAGAATTAGCGTCGCACTAATAATTTGAGTCTTATGATCTGCTGATTCGCTATTTCATTGCTTTCTGCTTAAAATCATCATATCAAAGATTTTTTTCTTTCTTTTATTTTCCAGTCTGGAGTTCCACCCCTCCTGCCTCGGTTCATCACATCTCCGTTTGTTCCTTGAACGGGGTTTCAGTCATGTGATGAACAATGCTAGTTTATCTTTCCTCTCCTGTGTCTTCGTCTCCTCTTCTATTTTTCGGCTCCTAAATTAATACAGATGAATCTCACTTCCTCGTTATGCTTTTCTGTCCTCTCCTCTGCAGTATAGTCGGGATCGTAGACCTACCTGGCTGATATGTTGCTGTAATGCATGTAGGCAGCCACTACCACTCCAGTTCTGCCCCGGTTGCCCTGAAAAGACATCAATTGAGCAACGGTGATCCACAGACATCTCCCTGGTCATCATGGTGTCATCACATCACAGGAAGCAATTGGTTTTTCCACAGCTTCAATACAAAGGTTGTTTTATTTAAATGTTGTTTTTAGATGTAAAATTCAAGGACTGAATGCAAACCAAAAGGGAGACCAGCAATGTCAACAATATTCAGCACAGATTGAAAGATTTAAAAGAAAAAAATAACTGAAACAACTGCAGTCAGACACCTTATAAAATCCAAAATTGCAGGATCCTCATGTAAGTTGATAGCATATTTTAGTATACTGCTGCTTACTTAGTTCCCCAATATTTCAAACCCCATTAACCTTTGTTATATGCGTGAAGTTTCCAAGCCCAACCCCGATGACATCATCAGAGTTATTTATTCAGAACCACAGAAGACATTTAATAAAGTTGTTTCGGGCTAGATAACTCCCCTCAAGACCTGTCAACCGACCGGCGTATCGGCACCCTGTTAAAGATTTGCTTACATTAGTAATAGCGAAATGACATCATAAAGAACGTCAAGATGTATGCGACTTTCTTATTTATATGGTTAAAAAAAATACCGGCTGTGCATTTAAAGGAAAGTTCACCAAGCCAAGGTCCAATCACGTTACTACAATGAACCAGCTTCAGCATTCATTCATTTTACGTATCCATCCATATTTAAAACAAAGTCACAGTGGAATATGAGTGCGTTCCAAAGTCAAATCAAGTCAAATCATTTCCACTGGGCTCTACTTAAACAGCGTGGAGCCCAGTGGAAATGATTTGTTGATATGTTTAAACTCAACGAGGCCTGCTTCCTTAGTGACCACCACAACTTCCAAGCCCACACTCATCACCAGCGTTACTCAACTTGCCGTAAAATAACACCAGTTGTTATGGCGGCCGACTTGTTTGTAACCTCCCTGTGGGAACATCTCGAGTGAGGCACGGATCCAATGGTTAATTCTTGCGTTGCAAAACCCAATGAGGAAGGCAGTGGGGCGAGCGTGAAAATGATGAGGTCTTATGTAAGGGACGTTGGTCTAGCAGTTGCATTTGGACATAGTTTTTATAGTTTGTGTCGGCACGTTTCGGAGCCAGACGAGTGTGGTTTGCCACTGGAGTTTAATGTGATCCGAGTAAGTCCAGGCAACAATAAAATATTGGTCAATCCAGTTTTTAAGGTATTGTTATGAGTAAAAAGGGTAAATAAACTTAAGCAGCCATGACGATTGGGGTGCCTCACCTCTCTAATTTGTGTTTTCCTAACCCTGGACCAGCAGGACACAACCCAGCAAGCACGCTAAGAGACACACTCTCACGCACAAACACTTTCCTCTTGTCATTACAAACACAGACACACCAGACAGCTGCAGCGTCGGGAAGTGGGGGCTTCCCGAGAGGAGCCTGAGAGCAACCCATATACAGTAGATGCCATTCTCACAGCAGAATCCTCATAGTTTCACCTTGTTGTGTATGACGACGACGTTGTGGCTGTCCGCACTCAGCCAGGTGTCCATGGCCTTGCAGATGCTGCATATCTTGTCCAGGGCAGGAGCATGGTGGTCAGGCCAGCCAAAGTCCAAGACCTGGGAGAAAAGAGAGATTCTCGGTCACAGTGATGGGGAGCACAACCCATGGGAGAGGGGAGAAGAGATCGGGTCAGGTTTACCTTTGGATTATGTTCGCTGATGTCAAAACGCTTCTCACTGAGGTTGAAGAGCTAAGGGAAAAGGAAAAGTCAACGCCGTCATTACAAGCCCTCAGCATTACATTTTACAGTTGATTGACAGCCAGGAATACGTGTTTTTCTACATATGACTGATCAGTAATTAGTCTTTACTCTTACAATGGTTTTATGACAGTTAATTGGAGTTTGCATTATGAAACAACTTGTATGTCGACCTCCTTACTAGAGAAACCTTTGGTACAAAAATGCATAGATATAAAAACTCAGGTAACCAGACTGAAAAATCTGATGGGTGCGTCTCTATTTTGAACCGTGTAGCTACATCGTAGTCGCAGATAGCAATACCATTAGCAACGGATTAAAAGACATGTACACGGAAATAGTACATCTGTGTGTGTGTGTGTGCGTGCGTGCGTGCATGCGTGCGTGTGTGTGTGTGTGTGAGGATACGTAGTCTGGACTGTGAGGGATCAGCTGATCAGCTGAGCCGGCCGTATACTGTAATTACCTAATTTTCCTGCCTTAACACTATTCGCTCTACTTGCTATATTCATTTTGGAAAAGGAACTTCATTGCTTCATCCCGGCCAGAATGAGCCACATCGACACATCAGAACTGTACCAGGTAGTTGTTGCCGTGTTTGGAGCGCAGCATGGAGGCCACCTCCCGCAGGTTGGCAGCATAACTCTGCTCCTCCACACTGCCGGGGAAGGAGACGGAGATGATCCTCTCTGTGATGTAGATGAGGTCCAACTCGTAGCTCTCCTCCAGGGCCTGCAGCAGACTCGTGCTCCTGTCAGAGAGAGAGGCAAGCATTCCATCTTCGGAGCGGATCAAACAGCAATTTCGCATTTCAAAAGGTCCCGCTGTGCAAGAGCAAAACCGAGGGGCACCGTTAGGCCGCGAAGTATAGTTAGGAATTTATTACCCAGAAATAATGCAGCACATGTGATTTATAAACACAAGCTTGTGTTTATCAGACCAGATTGTGCGTGATCAGTTTTACCATCTGTACCCACGAGAAGAGTGCCAAAAGTTGGTTTGTTTATATTGAGATTGAGATCGAATTGAACAAATCACTGTTCTTTGAGACGACAACAAAGAAATATCCTAAAACGGTAACACACCACAAACAGCGTATGCGTTTGAACCCTCAAAAGGATTCACTCTCTGCATGGATCACATGTTTTGTTGTTAGTCTTTGTGTGTATGTGAAGGAACAGCACAAGAAGAAGTTGACCCTCCGGGTGGGAGGGAGTCACTGCCCCAAGCGAGGGGGCTCAACCTGATCCTGCCATGTATTTGCAGTAGCCGCCCTTTAATAGTTAAAACCATTGTAAATCACGGCCTTTTGTGGCATTTTGCTCGCTTAAGCATCAGTGAAAGGTCTCCAAACACCCAGCGCAGCATAAGCCAATGTTTGTTGCCACCTGATCTCACGAAGCATTCAAATTTCCAGCAGGCCAATGCTTTGGAGAACATTTCAGGGAAAAACAAAGTCAGCAATGAAAAATTACTTGAAACAGTTCAAAGCAAAGAAAGTGAATTGGTGTATTTCATTTCAACATGTTTCCTCCTACTTCAAAAAGGATTGGCTTAATTTTATGAGGAACTACTACTTGAAATGCCTGCGCGGATTTTGTCCATGTCTACAGAGAATATGGATAGTGAGATGGAGAGGTTAAGGGAGAGGCGTCTGCACCCTTGGGCCCAGACTGCAGCATATTTCCCACATTTGTCCGCTGTGAGAAGTCCCTGAGGAAATTGCTCATACGTCTGGGACAGAAGAGCTCTCCAGGTTTATAATATGAGGACTGTAACCTGTTCTGTACTGTACATCTGGACCCACTCAAAACCTGCTTACTGGAAATTATTCATGAAAACTGATATGTCACAGAAGCTCTCATTTGTTGCAACATACTTTGAAATAGTTTATATGTCTTTTATTGTTCATTTGCTAAATTTATTTGTGTTATTTCTCTTATTTCCTGCATCTCTCTCTTTCCTTTCTCTCTTTTTTGCATGTTTTTTAGAATCTATTTTTCTCTTGTTTTCCCTCCTCTGTCTCTGCACATGTACGGCTTTGGCCCTCGACTGGGTGCAACCAGGCCCCCGTGGTTTGGTCCGGCTCCAGATCAACCAGCATGTGCTGACCGGCCTTGCGCCGACCTGCTTCTCATCAGCAGGAGAGATGAAGCGAACGTCGCGTTAAAAGAATGAGGCATTATCTCGCCACACGCTCAATCAGCGCTGCAGTGATCTCATTGGTTCGTTTGAGCAAAGACCAACGGGAAAGTAGTTTTATAAGAACACCTGAGACATTAGGCTGTAAAACATTCCCCCAGATATTCTTTAGTAACAATAGCCTAAGACAAAGATTTCGTCTCAGGCTAAAAACATCCCTTACTTCCTGGTGGTGAGCACCTACAGTTTCCCAAGATTTCTGAGGTCAGTGATTCGTCATTCGTCAATGCAATCGGTCTACGCAATTGACTCCAAATACTTAAAGCTGCACTGTGTAGCACATAATGACAAACCATAGAGAATAATATTTTGATATATTTTTTTAGCTCATTGTTTAGGTTTTCAAGCCCACGAACTCAACTCTGATCAACCTCATTCAAAGCAAATAAAAACATGTATCAACACACTTCCTGCCAATCCCTCCAGCTTCAGAGTCACTGGAGTGAGACTGAAATCAAAGATTACCTTCCATTTGTTAGATGGCCCAAAAATACCTTCCATAAAACTAAGGCGATAAAATGTATAGCTTTTACTAAACATAACAAGGTGCTATTTTGGTGGCACTTTAGTTCGATCACAGCTCTGAGAGAGCGTGCATGAGGGTGAGTTATCTCTGTATCAGCTGTGTAGCACAACCAATCTGTCTGTATCAGAATGTAAATAAGCCTGTCTGGACGGATAGCCAGAGCATTACACAATAGATAACCTTCATGACTGTGCTGTTAAAGCACTTAGGAAAAACCCTTTGATTTTTTTTTTCCTTTATATGGGCGGAAATTGAGTGCAATCTCGTAATGTGCGATTACAAATGATGTGAACGACGAGGTATCAGATGTTGAACTATTTTTATAACTCTGTATCAGCTCTTGGAGTTGCTGCGAGGGAATCAAATTGTCACTCAAACTCAAAGCACACAGTTTTTACACACTGCTTACACAACTGACAACATCTGTGACTTCCTCGGGACCGAGGTTGGAGGGATCGACACCAAATATCTTTGTGTCCAACTGAGCAGCATGAGGTCCGGTTCAATGGGAGGGCATGTTGCTACGACACATATCCTATTACAACAGAACTTTCTGTTTCAAACGCTTCATGCTGAAGGCGATAGAGGAAGGATAAGGTGGTCCTTGATATTTGTTTCTTTGCCTTCGTTATCTTTTTTTTTCCTTTTGGAGAACACATCAGAGATCAGTTCCAAAAATAATTTCAATAGATTCAGTCCAATAAGCCAAATGAAGCCTTTTATGGGAAACTTGAGGCCTGTAGAAAAGAGTTCCTACCTGGAGGGTCTGCGCCGGGACTCCATGCTCTTTGAAGATTTTGTGGAGCCCTGGAAAGAAGAAGAACACAAGTGCTTTAATATTAGCATATGCATATGAATATCTATTTAAATCAAAAGTTCACTGCTGTGTCAAAATACGTAAAAATATTGTATTTGAAGTTACATCAAGAATTCCATTTAGTATCAGTTTATAAGTTAGTCCCAGAACCAAGCTGCTCTGTGACTCTGCCACAAATCCGATCTGGTTGAAGGCAGAAACAGTAGGATGCTCCGAAAAACAATGTTTGGATTCTTACAAGAATAATCCCTCTCAATTAGGACCTATGACCACCTCGAAGTGGGTGGTGGTGTCCCCAGCACAGAGCCCCTGCCTGGCTTTACGGAGTTGGGGAGGTTTTCTGGAGGCCAACCTCGATAAAAAAATGTAGCAACCAAATGCAAATATAGCGAGGCGAACGCAAAGCGGGCTGAGTGTGAGCTGGGGTTGTCTTTCAGGAAGTGCGGCTGAACTTGATTGACGGTGTTTGGCTCAGGGAGGGGGTCAAAGGTCATGTGGACGTTGGTCGCTTCCATGTGGTGTTTGGGTCACATGTACACAGGAGGGGGCCGGGATCCATCATCATCCGGTAGATGAGACTGTCTGACTGAGCATCGGTGTCGGGAGCCCCTGGATGAGCTTCAGACTGCTCGTCTCTCCTAACGCCTGACCGTCTGTCAGAGAGCACATAACGGATCTAAAGGAGACATCATCCATGTGTGCTGTTAATCATGTGAGCGGCCCTGGTCCAATGTTATTGCTACAGCCCAAAGTGGTAACATTTTTAGTAGTCTTTCCACAAGAAAATCCTACCAATCTGCAAACATCTCACTTTTCTTTTGATTTAAATTACAAGCCAGCTGTAGAAATTTGCAACAATACAAATAAGTACTGGTTCCAGCCACTCAGCTACCAGTGAATGCAGTTCTGTCGTTTTGTGCCCTTTACTTTGTGGTGGCGCACCAACCTTTTCTGCAATTGATAGGCAGGAAGTTAGAGATTAAAATGAGCAGAGGTCAAATAAAAGAAAACATACAGCATTGTCCCATGTTGACACTGCGTGATAGTAATTTCTTGGTTGGGCTCGTTGGGAAAGAATTAATTGTTGGTGGGTCTATAGCCTTATCTCGCCATTTTGTGTGTTGAGGTTAACGCTTGACTTTTACATGACTTCGTTTTGATATGTTTGTTTTTTTCCACAATTCCAAGATCTGAATATGAGCATCGACCCAACCAATGTGCTGATCTGATTTTTCCAAAATATATACTATTATCAACAAGTGTCTGTCACTATCCCTACATGGATGTGATTACTATGAGTGGCACGTGCACAGCAGCAATAAAGCAGGATGTTGGGATCGGATAGCGAGTGACCCGTTATGTTGTTGATCCTCTGTAGCATAAATGAGCTCACAAATAATACGCTGCCATGATATCAGATCACTGAATAGACAAGCATACTCATATGCTCAGAACCCAATCCTGCATTTAGGTATTATTGATACAGATATCACAGTAAAAAGCATTCCTGCAGTTTGCTTTGATCTACTTAAAGGAAAGATCTCCCAATATAACACATATTGATTTCATTGGTTTTCCAATTAATCTTTTTACCGAAGGAATACATGTACATGATGAATCAAACGACATGGGGTTTGCAGACATCATTTTCTGTTCAAATCCACTTAATCCCACGTGTCCTTCCTTTGCTCCATCTTACATGAGTAAGTATTCACGTGAGTCTGCGGCTCGACTGAGGCGACACAAAGCCAATCCCCCTTTTATTTTTCTGGGCTTCAGCCTAAACGTTTCAGTATGTTGCCAGGGGCAATAACGCGAAGTCGCCATGGGAGGACAGAGATGAACGAGCTAGAAATGGCCTAAAAGAGAGTTCAGAGGCTAAGACGGCGACGAGTGCTTGTGTTGTGGGAAAGCCTGAATGGACCACTGTGATGTGATCAGAATATTCTCAAGATTCTTTTTTTTTTTTTAATGACAAGGTAAACGTCGTTGGACGACAACGCGCATTACAACGCTCCACCACTTCAACCGGGATGCAAACAAATACCTTTATTAGACAGCGAGCGAGCGTTCCAAGGAGAAGGAGCTCATATCGTGCTGCAAAGACTGCAGTGAATTCACAGCTTTTGCTTCAGATTACTTCAGATTGGCAGGCAGAGCATTTCATGAGTGACGACATGCTCGTTAAAGTGCAACCATCTGGGTAAATAAACGCGTCGCAGCGAGGCTGCGCTCAGGAGCGAGATGATGACTTTCTCCCACTCCGGGGCTGCCATTGACAAAGTGAAAGACATTGTGATGTTCTGTGGTTCGATGGACGGAGTGTGCTGTTCAGCCACGACTATCGATGCAGCCGTCTTCTAAGCTTTAAGATTTAAAGTAGAACACCGTTGCTCCTGAACATTACACTGTCCGCACCACGAGACCTGTTACTCTGCTCTGAGAACTCGTGTTTGCAGGAGGGGGGAGGTAAGGAACTGGAGTGGGGGGTCCAGCGGGCCTGTTTCCAGATGAAAACCATCTGTGGAGGTTGACTTTACAAGCAGGCCATTCAAATTAACCAACCCGAGGGAGGCGGAGGGAGAGTAGCGGGTGAGACGTTGGGGGCTGGTAAATGTCCGCGAAAATGTTGCTCTCTAACAAAGAAGAAAAAAAGAAAAAAACAACGAAGGAGAGAGCGGGACTCGACTGAATCCATCCATCCATTCGCTCCTCCACCGCATCCTACCTTCCTGAAAAGGTGGCCTGTACTCCATCGCCATGCCCCCCTCAGAGAGGAGAGCCGCCTTCTCAAAGAGCCTCTTCGGTTCATCTCTGGAGAGCTCCCAGTGGCCTCCTCTCAGGGCTCTCTGTCCGGCAGTGAAGTGGGGAAGCGTCTCCCTTTGCTCTCCGACAGCGGAGGAGGACGAGAAAAGGGGGGAATCTATTTTGGGCTGTAGCTGCCTGCAGTGGGCCGCGGCATGCTCCGGCTCAGACCCGACTCCTCCACCAAGCTGCTGCTTTTCTGTCTTGTGTGTCCGCTCTGTCTTCGTCCGTCCTTCTCTCCCCCTTCGGTCTGTGTGGTGGCCACCCTCCCCCCTCCCACTTAGCCTCCCATCACGTTATCTCCCCCCCCCCCCCATATCCAACTTTTCCCTCCCTCTGTCCCTGTTTCTCATCTGTGTACGGATCTAAAATGCAACTGCGAACCCTTTCCGTCGCCCCGGGCACACTGGGCTGTGAGACCCGTACACAACACACAAGCACACACACATCAGCTGAGTAGCTCTTCACCACTCTGTGTGTGTGTGTGTGTGTGTGTTTATGTGTGGAAATCTTATTCTGACCGTCAAATTCAGAATTCACACAACCTGTTATGTCAAGTTATTATGAAAACATCTGGCCTCCCGGAAGGTACAGTTTAATCTCATGAGTTCAAATTTGAATGGAAGCACGTCCGAGGCGAACAGTGATCCAGTGAAGCGGGAGAAGCGAGTCATAAGACGAATGGCTTTGGATGCTCTGAGGCAATGAGGCGCGGGGCGAACATCTCCCAGACGTCACACAGTCACCGCAGCAGCAAACGCCCATGAGCAGACTGCACTCACTAGCGCACACACACACACACACACACACACACATCATGCATAGATGTACTCACAATGCATGCCGGTCACGCAGAGGTGTACGCACAGTGAAGGCCTGAAAACACACACATTCCATCACACACTTCCGTTTCACTTTGTTCCGGGCACTTTAGTTGAAGACCAAATGACGACCAGAGAGGGAAAACTCATGAGCCGTGCAAAAATGGATATGAAGCTCCGGCATGACGCGGGTGTGTGTGTGCTCTTCCGTACTCCACTGTATGAGAAAAGTGAAACAACACGGGGAATGCCAATGAAAGCAGCCACACACACACATATATTTTGATCCTTGCGGTGATGCGGCATGCGGCTTTGGGTGGTAACTCTAAATAGGTTACTTGATCCTTCCTTTCCCAGACAAAATAAAACTCACAGGAAGTTGTATCATAGATGGGGCTGACTGAGTCCAAGGCAAACATGTGTGCTCTCATTGTTTTGTGTTTTTTCACCCAACACGCACTTACGGATGCGGGAGTCTTTACCCTGAAGCCACGCAGACCACTTCATTAAGGTTCATCCGCTATTTCTAAAACAACCATAATTGACTATGGAGTGAGATCATACAAGTGGCAATGTGTGTTTGATTACCCATCAGTCCCTGCGGTGTCCACCCTGAAAACCGCGGTGAAATCCCAGCGCAGTAGCGGTGAATGATGCAAATTTTTGAGCATAGTCCGAAAATGCGTCCTTGTTAAGTGATTCTGATTCTATTCATTTTCCAACATGTTGCAACAGGCTAAAAGTGGTGCCGGCCAATAGTAAAGCATGCGGTGGGCTTCTCCACACAAGCTTGGGATTTTAGTGGAAAAACAATGAGAGGAGATTACTTCAGAAGCGGCTCGTTATTGTGCTTATGTCATTCAGCCCTTTCGTTTATGTCCCAGCGCAGGAAGTGGTGTCCCCCATATCCAGCAGCAGTGAGGGTGTGCAAGTTTGGATGGTGGATGGGAGTTTATCCAACTTTACTGCAGAAGGACAGAGATCCCTTTTATTTTGAAGGGAGAGCGTGAAAATGTTCGTATCAACATGCGTTATTGAAAAGGCTGAATTCCTTTCAAGAATCACACGGTAAGATGCAAACAATATATTGCTGTATGGCAACTATATTCATATATATAATGAGGTGCCACAGCATTGTGCCACCTGAACCGGTCAGAAGCCACAACACAGACCACTGGCCCTGTGGAAGTGTGCCGTGTCCCTTTGCTAAGCCCAAGGAGTCTGTGGGTCAGTGGCAGCGCCGGGTCGGCCTTCAATAAGAGGATCGGGGGGATTTCTATTATTAAAGCAAGACATTGCAAACATATTTTACTTATGACACATTAATTGTGTGTTATGTTATATATGTCTAATATTATCTTTGGTGGAAAATCGTAGAAATCCAAAATAAAAAGTGTGACTCTGAACTTGCAGACCTTCTGCACAGCTGACCTTGACCTTTGACCTTCCCACGATAGAAAGCTTGACATTAAACTGCACTGGCAAATCTTCCCGCTCACAAGATCAGCAGCTTATGATACCGTGTGGCGGTCTCTGTGTCTGATGGTGCCTTTGAAAACACGTCTAATGGGAAGAGAATCAGCATCCTGGCTGGATTCCCAGCTCAGAAACACCTCATCGTCCATTTTTCACACTTGAGTTACAGCTTTTGTAAAAAAAAAAACTCAAAGGAGTTCGGCAGAAAGCTGGACATGGGGGCCGCCATAATTTGTAGACTGTGTATCGTATCAAGTATACTCCTCAAGTTGCTGTAGTTTAGAAGAGCATCAGCCTTCTTACGGCGTATTTGCTGCAGATGAAGCGCAGCTGCAAGGCTTCTGTCTACTCCCAATCAACGCCGTTCCACGATCAAAACCGGTGATCCGTCCGCAAGTTTCATAGTGGCGGACTAATCTGCTCGCTCAGTTCAGTAATCTAAGCATGAGAGATGGCCGGACCTGCGTGGGGAACAAAACAGCCAGCTAGTTGAAACTCACCATGGTGTCTACGTGTTTGAGAGGGAGGTCGCTGCTCGCTGCCTGTTCAGAGAAAAGAAGGGGGCAAAAGAGACAAAAAAACAGAAACGTGAGTTCACTGCCTCCAACACTTTAAAACCTCAAAAACCTGGGTCACGCCACATCGTCTGCTCTCGCGCCGAGCTGCGCTCAGTGCCATTCTTTGCCCTAATGTGGCGTTGCAGCAGAGTGGGGCTCCACCTTGAATGCGTGGGACCATCTATAATCCCTCTGTGCAAATATTTACACAAAGAAGTCTGCTTCCATTAGCCAAGACCAGAGAGTCCATCCGTGGAACTCTCGTCTCCAACGCCATATACAGCTATGGACACGCAGAGGGAGGGTCAGGCCGACTGGGACAGAGCGGGAGAGAGCAGGCAGGAGAAGGAGGAAGGCCGATAAGAGAGAAATGAAAGACAGTAGGGAGAGCGTGGATGTAGGGTCAGCGCCTGCCGGCTGTCGGGTTTAAGGGGGAGAAGAGATGAAGGTGTAGAGGAGGGTTCACGGCAGAGAAGAAGAAAACATCAGAGTGATGCGTGATCTCGGCTCACCGCAAACTAGCACACATGCACAGATGTGTTGTAGGATACATTCAGTATTAAAAAGACATCCGTCATAGAGACGACATCAAATGACAAGGGGCACTTTTCATTGCAGAACAACTAAATATATTGGGCATGATCTCTTTGACAAGTTGTGTCTGTATAGGTCTTTCCTTGTGCACAGCAAGTGCAAAGTTTTCCTTTTTGTTGAATTTATTGTGATTAAAATCAGGAAAATCCAAACCAATGGGAAAATACAGAACATTCTATATATAAATAGTGTAAATGTCAACGTTGTCATTGACAGGACACATCAGGCTTTGGCTATACGGACCATAATAAAACCTATTAATATCACCAGACATATAATTTGGATGGAAGCACCAACAGTGGAGGCCTCTTCCTGCACAGCAAACACACGGGGAGCTGCATTGTGACACAAAGGATGCTCTGCTGCTTTCAGCAGAATATAAACAGTAAACGCAAAGGGTAAATTATAGCCTGGCTGTGTAGGCCCAAGAATATAGACTGAACGCCCAGAGAAAACCACCAACCAGGCACACACAGACAGATGGAGAGAGAGACTTTGCAACCATCCTACCAGTGACGTACCAAGTTACAACATTTAAAACAGCCAAAGAAAAAAGGCAATGGTGATTTAATTCATTATAAAATGCCATGGCAACACGGTTGCATATTTTATACTTAATGTCCCCGAATCACAACTGTGTGCTTTCTCTCTAGGTGGGTGTGTAACTGTGGTTTGTTGTTGTACATTAGACAAGTGGAGGACGGAGTTGCTTCAAGGAATGAAGGAAAAGGAAACACCAGACCGACGCTTCAGCCTCTAAATACATACTGCGGATTTACTCAGAGGTCAGAATTTGCAGCCGCAGGCATTCTCACACAAATAGAGCCTATTGTGTGCAGACCCAGAAGAACACACACCGGGGAACACGGACACAAACAATTCTCACATTGATATATTCTAACATGTGCGTGGCCGCTCGTTACAATCGCATCCACATGAGGGATTATTGTGTGCGGCGTGTATGTGAGTTTTGTCGATGGGGCTTGCAACTGATTCGGGAAGCATGAGAAAGCCCCGAAAGTTGTGTCCCGGCAAAATGTTCCACAGAAGAGGTTTCTACCCTTCCTCCCTGCCCTCATCAAAGGACACATTAGTAACCGAAACACTGAGGCAAGTAAATGCATCAACTTTCTTTTCAAAGTCAAATTTTTGCAAGCAATGCAAAATAAGCCTCTGTTAAACCAATACAAAGCCAGAACTGGATCTTGACTTTTATAGACTGTTTTATAGAGCACTTCATAGACTGACATGATGAGGTTCCGCTGTGTCATAGTGACGTTCTGACTCAAGGACGAGCGGTCCGTCACCAGGGCCCGGCGCTGGAGAGAACACACGCTGGTGACTAACAGCAAACTGTCTCGTCAACGCTGAGAGAGGAACCAAGCGCCTCAATCACTTTACGGTGTCAGCCTATGGTACCATATAATGAAAAACATTTTTGAGACTTAAGCACTTTTTTCAGTCCCAGCGAGTCAATTTCATTTATTTTTTTAGTTGTGTAGGTTTACACACACAAATATATGAACGCATATATATGATGATTATATTATCGTTCTATCATAATTCATCTCAATTATTTCTCAGACAATATATAGTGCAAAGAATAGGGGAGAGGGGAATCTTCCTTGGGGATGCTTCCTTGCTGTTTTCTGCTTAGAGCCATGCCACCTTTAGCCAAGTCAGATGAGCATCATGTTGCATTTGTTCTCATGAGAGGAGCTAAATACAAGCTGGTGATCTCCCATGTGGTAGCAAAATAATAACAGATATAATAATAGCAGAGCAGTATAATAATGTTTTGAAAACATGGTTGGTATCTCCTGCTATTTAGCTGGGAATCAATACGTGTGGTGAAAGAGTTGTTATTGATTAAAGCCATGATAAATAATTCCTTCAATAGGTGCTTACGTCTGCATGCTGTTACTGATAACGGCCTCTATTTGGGTCAACTGTCATTGTTATACTGATTTTACAGTGTTTCCCCCACCATGATATATTTGGTATATAACTATATAATTTGGCATTTTAATTCACCAAATAAATAGCAGAGATTTGTGGATGGAAAGTTCTTAATGAAAGACATGTAACATCCAGAGTCTTTCTCAAAAAACAAAAAAAACCTCAAAGTTCAATGAATAGAAGTGCATTGAAAAAAAAGAGGGAAATAATGTAAAAAGACTTACAAATAAGTTTCTTTGCAGCCCAAACCCAGCTCACTTCTTTTTAGTGATACCACCAGTATACTTAATCTGGGCTGGTGAGCACAATGCTTTTATTACAGCCAAAACAAGAGCCACGTCGTCATGCATTTAGATCGGCCCTTTCTGACTGCACGCACACAACAGCTGATTGGCAGACAAACTGTGGTTACATGCGATGCATCAAAGTCCGCTTTGTTGCTCATGTTCAAGACGTGTGAAAGCTGCCGCGTGAAAAGGGAACGGAGGAGGAAGCCACGTGTTTGTCTCTGAGCGTGACCTCCACCCGCAGGTATTCATCTCACCGCCGTAGCATGTGCTTCATTTCACATGAGCACAGAGGCTCTTTTGACCAATTTTCTTTTTTTAACTTTTAGCACCCGCTCCTTTAGGAAGACAGAGCCGGCCAGCGTGTGGCGGGGATAAACGTGGCCCGAAGCGGGGCCTCGGCGGGGGGAATGACCCACGGCTAAATATACAGCTGTGCATCTTTAACGCTCGGCCGGAGAGAGGGAGGGTTTCTGTGCCAGGACGGTCGATCGGTGTTTACAGCCGTCAACACACAGATGCGTGTGTGAAACTGACAAGAATGGAAGAAAACCCGCTTCACTGTATGTGTGCACAATTGCGTGTGCGGTTGCGCGGGATTGTTTCCAGAGTGAAACGATGGGCGTCTATATATGTATGCGTGTGTGAGTCAGAAGAAGGGTGTGCACCGAGGACCACTCATCCTTTCCTCTCCTCTGAACTTACTACCTTCCAGCCCGGGACAATTCTTTGGATACACACATACACATACACACATACACACACACATACACACACCCCACTGGCAGCAGAGCTGCTACGCACCAGCTGTACTCTTATGTTTACAGTCTGCATTTTGGACATGCGCCCAAACTGAGAGCCTAGCAACGTGAATTCATGTACTTGATGCAGGGTTGAAAAGGTTGAAAAGTTGAGACTGTGTTGCACTAAATCACAGCCAACGGGCCCAATTTGCGAGAATGGGGCCCTTCTTCTCATGCAGGCTACTGATTCATGCGCTGATGATTAAAATTTAAAAAACAGTACAGGCTAAAAAATGTAATGTAATCCCCAAAAGGGTTTCATGCTAAGAATATGTTAAAGTTGCGGCTGACCAGACCAATCGTTTTTTTACATCGGAAATGTGTTTCTGAATGAATTAAGATATACAGAATAAATCTAATTCTACTTCCAATTGTCATTATACCAGGTCAGAAGGTAACGGACTAACATACCCAGCAGCGCCTTCTAGTGGAAATAAACACAACTGCAGGCCTTAACACAGTTGATATGATGATGGTTCTGATTAGAGGGGAATAAATGTAAAGTATACCTAATTTAAATTACATTGGAAGAGCTTCCTGAGTTTCTCTATTTTTGGGAAGTTGGTGAAAATTCTCTAGTGTTTGTTTGCCTTGAAAATAAAAGCGCAGCTATTTGGCAACAGCCTTATAAAAAATGTTTTTCCCTCTAGTAGCTGCCTTAAAAAGGCAATCCTGGCTCTCAACAGCTGAAACAACCTCAGAGCAACTCCTGTCTGATTTAAAAGGCTGTAGTTTGCAGAGTAAATTATCCAAACGTTCGTCTTTCTTCTCCCTCAAGGCAGAACTCATTCACTAGCACAGCATTTACAATGCAACGTACCCTCTGCAAGTAAAACCACCACCTTGGGCCAGGTAAATCAAGTCCACAATATTATAGGAAATGTGTCTACTATCGACATTACAACATACAAACAAAGAACAGAAAAACTGTCTCCCATGTGCCTTTTGATAAAAACTAGAATATGTAAAACAAACCAGTTATCTTTTGTATTTCTCCCCAATTTCGCATGACTCATTAATTTGAGTAAAAGCATTTAGTAAAATATCTATAACAATATGGGAATAATAACATAATACATTTTAAAGGCATATACCCAGTTCTACTACTTCATCCTCCTCAATAACAAGTAAAAACACACATGCACAGACACGCACATGCACAGCTGTTCCTCTCTCATGCTCCAATGTCCTTCATCTGCAGCGTTCACACAGCCATGTCCCACAAATGTAAACATGGTGCTGAGGAAGGAGGGGCTGTGTGGGCCTGATGTATCAGGGGTTAGGGTTCGGGTTGGAGTGTGTGTGCTTGTTCCTGTTCCCACCCCCCATGAGGTAGAGGGGGGGGGGGGGCTTATAAAATGCCAGGGATCTCTTAGGACCAGAGGAGAGTGGAGTGAACGGCCTCGCTGTGGGAAAAAAACCCAGCGCCGCCGGTGACCCTAAACCGCCTCCTCTGTGTTTCTCAGTCTGTCCCTGCTCCTACTGATACGGACCGGACCGCTCACTCTGTTATGTAACCTAAAGCCTTCTGCAACATTGAGAGAGGAGGGACTAAAGGAATCTGGAAGTACTTTTACTCCTTGTGTGTGTGTGTGTGTGTGTGTGTGAACAGGGTCTACTCAGTCACACCTACCACACTAATCGTTTTTTCTTGACTCTGCATATGTCCCAATACGGTAATAACTCAGAAGCATCCTGTAAAAAAAAACGGGAAAAAAAGGGAAAAGGGATTTGTCCAAGCCTTATCTAGACTAGTGTACTTCATCTCTGCAATATTTAACTTTTATTTCCTTGGCCTGGCTGACCGTCTAATGCCTGTGAGAGCGAAGATACGAGATGTTCTGTATGTTATGTAATAATTCATCACCTCTATCAAAAGACAATGTGTAATGTAGTTAATATAATAAGTATATAGAAAACTGGATACAGCGTTGGGGACGGGGACACGTTGACTTTTACGAAAGATGCACGGGTTTAACTTTCCAGATGTGATTTTCCGCTCTCGTGTTAAGTTTAAGCCCAACTCCCGGCCGCCAGTCGCCATTCCTGGGCTTATTCACATCAACAGAGGAAGGAACCAACAGTTGTAGTTACATACTGTGGCCACAATGTCAAAGTTGGTGAATCCTTTGCTGGTACATCAACAAAGTAAATCCCTTTTCATGCCTCCTGCTTTCATCTGGCCAATCCCAAGCACGCAGACTGGGCACTGATCTTTCTACATATCTATCCATGGATCCGTCCGTCCATCAGCCCCTTTGGTGTCAGCTTTTGTGTGCTAATATGTGCTAATTAGAACATACGTTTGCGTTTAAAGTTTGACAGGTATTTGAAAAAAACCCAAATCAAAGTATTTAAAACCATGACGTGATACTGGGCACTATCAACGCTATTACAATTCGTCCTTTGGGGGATCTGAATATATGCACTAAATGTTTCGGTAAGCTGTTCCATACTTGTTTAGACATTTAACTCAACACCCAAAATAGCAAATACAGAAAGTCAGCAGGACTCTTTCTCTCCACTGTGAATGAGCAGATATTTTAAACTGGACCTAAAGTGGTCAACGGACATTCCCCCCTCCTGAACCATGCGGCTTAGATGGTTAAGGATTTCCCCCCTACTTTGAGGGAAGGGGTGTTGTTGTGGCTAAAAGAAAACAGAGTTTGCCGAGCCTTCCTGAACTAAGAAGGCTGAAGGTGACCACAGTCTGAACTGATGTTTCTCCTTACTTTTGTAACACCGGTGGGAATGCCGGCGAGGGTTAATTACTGCGTACTGCTACTGAAACACCTAATCTGTAGAATGACTTCATAAATCGGCGGTTTACAAGCCACTGTTTGCTTGTAATTTATAACACAAATTGTGTGTGTGACATTTGAAGAATTTGCTTGAAAAACAACAAGTTACAGAAGTGATAGGTTAAATAAAAAGTGTTGAGTTAGAAGGTTATTTTCGAAAATGTGCAGTGGTTGCTCTGCTTAACAAATTGCCTCCTTTGAGGTAATTGTCTAATAAAAGCTCTGCCAATTAATGGAGGCGTAAGGGCTGAGTGCATTCGGATGATTGATCGTTTCAAATAAGATTAAAAAAAACTGCATCGATGTGACTTTCTCACTTTGACCCAGCACTTAATCCATTCTATCTTTGGCTACGGATGCCTGCAGAGAACAAACTGAGCGTGACGTCCACTTCACCGTAGATCTCCCTTAGGGCTTATGTACTACATATACACAGTTGTTAATGCTGGAGCGTCACGTAGAACCCAGAAGAAACACTTACGTACGCTCTTTAGTTCAATATCATACAGGTTTTTCATGGCCTGGTTTTGTACACTTCCCAGGGAATTGGGCTCATTCTGTATATTTTTACAGGATGCCTGGTCGGTTCTTGTGTACAAAGCGTAATACGGGGCACATCGGGGAAATATGTCTGCTTCCAAACACAGCGCTAATTGGACCACATCTAGACCATCTATGCCCTGCAGTTACTCATTACTCAGCAATGTCCTGGCCCTGTTCCCCCACTACATAAGACCTATATATGTATGTAATGGGAAAAAAAGCTGGCTGACGTAGGTGTGAGGGGTTTATGGGTTTCTGAGTGTGTGTGTGTGTGCATATATTTGCTGGTGCGTGCATGCATTCTTCATGTGTGTCTCTTGAGCAGTCCACGTAACCAGGATCCTTGACGTCTGTCTCCCTCTCCACCTCCATCAGGCCGGGTTTTATTTTTGTCCTAAATAAAACCTATTCCCGGCAGCGCCGGCTCGACATGAGGGCACATCTGAGGAATGCTCCCAGCATGCTTTAAAGCGCGTTGCGCGCACACACACAGAGGCGAGGGTCTGGTTGGGGGTTGTCCCCTCCGTCATCAGCCCCGTTGGATGGGATCTTCCAACCACACATCATCAATTACAATAAGCGGGCTGGCTGTTGGCATCAATTTCCTGTTTCCTAATTCCCTCTCTCTAATTGGTGTCCAAGATTGTATTTTTCTTAACAAGTTGTACATGCTGGTGTACGTAAAGGGTCAGAGTTTAGCATTCAGCAAAAATTGAAGGTAATATCCAGAACCAGATTTTAGGTAAAGTATAATCACCTAAAGGGAAATGGGCATCAGAACACCGGGGAAACCTTGATGAGGGACCGCAGTGTGTATGTTGTATGTATGTTGTATGTTGTGTGTGTATATCAGAGTTTCATCTCATTCAGTGCAGAGTACTATCATCTGGTAATAAGGCCGTGTACTCTTTGTAGCTCGTCCTATCTGAGTGGTGGAATGTCCGGACTCTCAAAACGTATTTAAAAAAAATAAAAAACACTTTCCCCCGACTTGGTTAATATATGACCGACGATGCACCTGAACCGGCCGGTAAATCATCTTGGTCTCAGGCGGTGTGCGGAGGAATTCACCAAACAAGGGGCTGAGGAGAGCTGACACACACCTCCCGCTGGACGGCTACAGCTGGAGCGCTCGGAGGCGTGCACGCTCGCACGTCCACCCTGCGGACACAAGCGGCATCTCGGTCCCGTTCCAGAGAGCTGACACGTACTTATCAACGTGCCTTTTTTAATATGTACTTTCATGGAACTGGAACATAGCACAGAGGTTCCTTACCCTAACTCAACTTTGAGTGCATGGAAATAATGCGTTCAGCCCACATCTCTATTGTCATGATTCATATTTCTGCACCGGCAGAAGGCTTGACCATCTTTGAAGGGAGTTTTGTTTTGTCTCCACTCTCCTCAGCAGGAAAGGTAACCTAAAAAAAACGTTTTACAGCTCATCTCATCAGCATTTATGAGCGCAATCAGCACCTTCGATGCAAAAGCCAAAAGCCTCAAGGGAGACTCCTGTTGGCGAGCCAAGATGAAAGAGGTGAAATGGAGTCAGATGCCCTGCGGCTTCTAATCACTTCTACCTATTTCATCTATTAAAATATATAATCTACTAATCTAGTCTGTTTTCTGTTCACCTCACCGAATAACTAAGAAAGATTTTTCTGCGTACTGCCCGACCACAGACGTGATCATAAAAAGGATCATTTGGGATCGGCCTATGGAGGTCCAATGCCGTGTTGTGAATACTGCAGGCCCGTTTTCTTATTGACGACCGCCGTGAGAACAAATGGTGTAAGCTATCAGCAGTGAAGTAGCAGCAGTGAACGGCTTCAGGTGAAGTCGGTAAAGTGTAATGTCATATTTCCATATAGAAGACAACGTGTCTGCAGCAGCAGCCCTTTCAAAAATGCCCAAGAAAGCTCAGCACATCTAAAACAGATGTCTTCATGTCCAAAGCATCTAGTACGAAACCCTCTGCAGAGGATAATAACATGTCCTTGCTTGATCACTGCAGATTTTATGAAAGAAAAACAAGACATTTACAGAAATATTTTCTCTGTGAGCATAGAAAAGTGCAGGGGATATTTGCTTTGGTTTGTCAGGCACCCAAAAAACGTTCAAACACACAATATACGAGAAAGAGAGTGAGGTGATGATCTCCAAGTCCAACACAACATCTAATGTGGATACCAAATAAGGCAACGGAGCAGGCGTATTTTATTGCCCTTGCAAAATCACTTTCATACTCAGACGCCGACTCAAACCCCAAAAGACGTCATCGTGATTCAAGGACACAGCTTTCTATTTACCTTTGTTGTCTGTTTGTTGTTATCATGCCACAGCTGCTCATACATCCCAAATTCCCTCGTTTTACAATTTTCAAGAAAAGGAAAGAAAACGAACGCAAAAGGTTGAGTATGTTCTAGTACATTTACATCGCTCCAGATCACAGGTTTGTCTCAGGGGCCCCTCCAGATAATAGTGCATTATGTGCAACGGTAACTACCTTGTTAGTGTAGCTGATAGAGGCTGTTAGTTTCCGACCCTGTTTGCAATAATCCTACGGCAGGAAGGAGCCAATAATGCCTGCTGAGCACGTACAGCATGGAAGCAATTACTAAAGCAAAACAAAAAAAGTGTTACTTACCAGCTCATAGTTTGTTGCTGGAACGCACGATGAAGACACCTAAGAATTCAAATAGAAACGGTTAGTCATATCGTTGCTTATATCCAGTTATATTTGTACATGATGCCATGAACAGCCGAGGACTTCGTACATTCCTGGTTTGCATTTAGGCTCGGCTTTATGACTTCATATTTTGAAAGTGCACCAAACACGCTTCATCCCAACATGCTGCCAATGTAACGGTACTTTATGTAGACGCAGATGCAAACAGAATGGAGAGACAGGCTTAATTGGACTTAAAGCTGCACAAATGAGTGATCTTATTTTATTATAACGGACAAATGTGGAAGGGCTCACATCAACCTCATTTCCAGCAGCCAGACAATCCCAGAGAAAAAAGACATTTGTTGAAATTGGACGTTTCTCAACCAAAAAAAAAACATTCATTAGTATGTTTCATATGAACCACAACACATCCGCAGAGTTGGACAAAACTAGATTAAAGAAGAACATTGGTTTGTGTTAAAAAAAAAATGTAATTACCCAGAATAAATATCAACCGCCAAAAAGCTTAATTGTTGATCTCTCCAGATAGGGCTCTGATCTTAAATCCTCCTCGACATAGTCGACCACAACTGAAGCATCAGGGGAAGTTAGCCGGTAAAGAAACTCATGATCTGTCCAGTGGCCGGCCTAATCTGATTACTGTCCGACAGTTTCCGTGGTCATTCTTCGAGCATGAGCATGATGACACAGGCAGATAAACAGGAAGAACATAATGATAATGGCCTCTAACAGAAGATCCAAATGAAGAGCTTCCAGAATACGATGACCCTTTTGATGAGGATGAACACAAACAGGATGTCGCCACTGCCGGTTCCTTCCTGTGCGTCTGTATTCTTCCCCTTCGCAGCCCTTTTGCCATCATTCCTCTGACGTTACACACAAGGGAGAGGTCCTACTAACTTCATTTTCACCAGTTAGCTATGAACCACCACCGTGTCCTCCACAGATGGCCGACAAAAAATAGAACAGGGCCGGCTTCGTGATTCCAGGAGGCTTTTGACTTGTGGGTTATCACACCTGTCACCCACTAAAGGTCCCCTTCATCTTTGCTCCTTCGCTACCACCTCCCTTATCCAAGACTAATTGTGTCATTGCACAAACTCAAGCCTTCTGCTTGGTGCGGGTCTGCTTTTTGTCACTGTTGAAGGAAGCACATTCAGCGTCTGCCCGTCTTGAACACATCTAGATCACATAAAGTTCCACCTTTCTTAAACACCATGTCTTGTCATCAAAGCTGTCATTATACACATGCAGAATGGTTCACAGCTTAGATGGTAGATTTGGGGATTTAAAGCCTTGAATGCAATGATACCCAGTTTCAAAAACAGGCTCATTATGTTTTTCGGGGCATTTCTGTACTGCAACGTCTTTTCACTGATATGGATGTTTTTATAATAAGACAATATTGCCTTACAAGCTGCAATTCCAAACCAAACCGAAGTAATTTAAAACTAACAAAGCCCTAAATAGCCACTGAGGTTAAGGCATTATATAATTGAACGATCCACCAGCAGTGGACGTTCATGCACCAAACTAAACAAACCACTGGATGACTGCCATCGTGGTGTTAGGATTGCTGATCAGATTCACAAAGTTGTTGATACACAAGTCACAAGTTATGCATCATTGAAGCCTCGTTTAGAGCTGTTACCCCATGTGGAAAAGAGGAATTAAGAGTTCTACAGGAAATTACTGTCATCAGATTACATGTTGTGTTCCCTTGTAGCAGCAGAAGCAGCTGATACACAGATATGACAGGAGGCAGTGCCTGAATTGGAGTCATGCTCCAACACAACGGCTCTTAGTACTTTCCCATGCAAGGAGGTGAGATGTTGAATCTCCCAAGTGACGCCAAAATAAAAATGTTCCTCTGTGACGGCTCTCAGTCACAGCAGGTTGCCTTATGTATCAGCAGCCTACCACATCACTGTGGAATGCGTCTCTGTTTTCTGATCATTTCGTCTGGCATGATGGAGTGTGTCTGGAGTTGTCAGGATACTGTATCTCTGTCTGGCTCAAATCACCTCCACTACAAGTTAGTCCAAAAATTTCCATTCCCCATAACCCCCTTCCCGCCCCAGCAGCCTTATCACTCCATGCACAACCGCGTGCCGTTCTTCTCAGAGGCCCTGCTCTTTAGGTTGCCCCCTTGTGTCTCCTCAGGCCGGGTCTGGGTTTCCACCTGACACTACCTCCGCCCTGAAAGGACTTGACAGTTACTCCATCTGCAGTCCGAAAAATGTGAGTATGCTCGCATGGACTATATAGCAGTATATATATAGCAGTTATGCTCACGATTAATACTCACAGTTTAGCATGTATATCACTTGCCTTAAGATGCCTGATAATGGCATCATGCAACATGCAGACTATTAATTAGTTAGCAACAAATAACATGACATGGTTTATTATCTTGTCTATGCATAATCGACATTTACATTAACAGCCGCAACACTCCACACACCACATCCCCCAACACAGGCTGCCTCTCTTATGTTGTCTGACCAGACCTATTGTCAGGACTGCGGGGGCGCTCGCAGACAGTTATTGAATAACACATACACACTGTGTTGTTAGTGTCGGTGTGTGTGTGTGTGTGTGTGTGTGTGTGTGGGAAGGAAACCTTAAACAGTGATGTAGAAACATGAATATTCAACAGAATAAGCTAAGCTATGACCCGAGCAGAGGCTATTTACACCAATATGAGCCAATACAATGATCAATAGTATGTGATAGACATTGCTACTTCCTACTCAATTTTATACATATCCTTCAACCGTGTATGTATGAGTCTTTGACATGAGCCTGTTTCCCATTTAAAACTACCATGAAAAAGGATTGGAAGATTGGACTATTATGTATATCTGTGGTGGGTAATCGATCACCGCTTGATTTTTTCCTTCCTTTTATTGTTGCAAGAACAATCAACAGTAGACTGTCATCATAGAACAAAAAGGCCAGCAATAGCAATGAAAAACAGCAGGAGGAAAACAGCTTGCATTTTTCACTTAAAACTCAAAATGAATGGATTGAATAGTCTTATTTTCACACTGAGGGGCATATGGGAGTCTGGTTGAATAATTGGACTCTAGTTGTGACGCACCACAAGGCAATATTATCTGGAAACATAATCAAATGTGTGCAAGCCCACAAACCAGATGGAGTGGCATTGAAAGTTGTCCAATCCTGAAATCGGTAGTCAATGAATACAATAAGCGCTGCTTCAAATGACCGGAGATGTTCAGAGATTCAGCCCTCAGATGAACTGTTACATCTGCTGCATTGCGAGAAATTACTGTGAGTTTATTGTGTAACTGTGCCAACGCACAAGAGGGGAAAACATAAAACAAAGAACCACTTCATGAACCAGTCTCGTCCACAAACATCCAAAAGGCTTCGGTAACATTTGTATAATGCGTTGAATAAAATGTATTTGTGCAAAACAGAGTTCATTATGTTGGAGATAAAATCATTGACAAGTTAGCCAATGATGCCAGTGTAATACGCAAAGGTCAGATTGAGCGGGTAGTAGACTGCCCACGTCAGAATAGCTCACATTCTCCCTCATGCTAAGTAGTTGCCTTCTAAATGGGTATGGAAGAGAAACGTTGCGCTATAGCCGGTCTGCTAAGCCACAGCAAGGATCTCCCAGCAACTACAGGGAATATTTATTATAGGCAGCACTTGGGTTTGAAGCAGTGGCTGAAAGTAAATACAGGTCAAATAATCAGAACTGTCCCAATAATTCAGCCCCACAGAGCTGCTAGCGTGCAGCCAACAGATGCGTTCAGATCTACCTTTTAGCTACCCGTACTATGACATCGGCCTAGATCCACACTTAATGTGTTTGTTTTTTTACATCTGAAGCCAGCGGACAATGAAACCGGAGGCTTGTGACCCGCGTTTGCATTGAGATAAAAAACCCCACGAGCCTTTGTCCGGACTGTGCTGTGCGTGGGGGGGAAGAGGCCTGGTGAGCGAGCATGTGCTGATGCTATCTGTAGTATTCAAATGAGTTTAATATAAAATGAAGAATAACCGCGTTGTTGCATTCCGTACATGCTTGTGTCAGCAGCACTGAACAAGGGCCTATTTCCCGCAGACTAAAGTCCATGTCAGAACTCCACTTCTGGGACAAACTCCACATGAACGCAGCTTGCTGCTAGCTACTGGCTCACTGCAGGCGGTCATCTTATGTAACTGTTTCCCAGGTCTGACTATGTTGAAGATCCTCGCTAATGACGATGCGGAGCCGTGAATAAATGATGAAGTGAGTCCTTTTGGGGGGAAATAGCGTGCAGTATAATCTCTGGCTGACGTCGATAAATCTCAAACTTAATGTAGGAAAATCAAACAGCGGAGTGATGGATGCTGACAGAGAGAAGCACATTCCAGCTTTCCTTCAAAGCACAGGAACGTTTGCCACGCAGGTGAGCGTGTTTTGAGCGGGGAGAAGAGCATGGGGCCATTGCGTTGCGGCTGAAGAAACTTTTCCGGGCCCTCCGCGCTGGCACATAAACACGCCGCTGCCCTGAGTGCTTTTATGTTTATCCAGCTCCTTGCGTCTGGCACATCCCAACAGAACTATTCAGTGTGCAAATTCAATTTGTGAGCCATAACCAGCAACAGAGGGCTTTTCTGCCGCCGTGATGGTGGAGCGTGCCAGAGTGCGGGTCAGCATGGGCTTATTGGGATGTTATCAAAGTACAGAGGAATAAGGGGAGAGTGCGGGTCCAAGGGCCCATGCCGTATCACTATAAGATGATCTACTTCTCTGTCGGTTATTGGTTCATAACCTTTTTGATGCTTCTATACATTTACTGAATTTGTATTTACTAGAAAGGTTTTGTCCAAACTACATCTATACGTTTTAGTTCTGTCTTTCTTCAGTCAGATTCTGTCTTTGGGAAAGTTACGGCCTCTGTGTTACCTCGAGGGAAAGTATCATATTTATGGAGCGGGCTGGACTGAAGGGCAAGGACGCAACTGAACAG